GTCGCCTGGAGAGTGGATGATGCCTGCCGACAAGGAACGTCGGCCGACCGGCGGCGGAGGCGGCGCCGACTCGGCGGCCGGTGCCGGCGGCTCGGCGGAGCCCGGCCGCAGTGAGGAGCCGCGCGGCGACCCGGCCATGGCGCCCGTCTACCTGCGCCTGCTGCTGCCCATGTTCTGCCGCACCTTCAAGGACACCATGGTGGCCAGCGTCAGGTGCGGGGAGCGACAGATTGGAGGGGAAGGGTGGGAAAGAATGACAGACGTTGGATGACGATAGACTAGTTGGCCTAATTATGACCAGTATCAGGTCACATCCAATTTGTTTGTACTGCCAGCAGTTTGCACATGAAGTCCGGTGTTTTCCGTCTGAGGTCTTAACAGACGAATCTAGATGTTTTGGCAGCCCTGTAGCGAGTGGCATGTCCAGATTACAAGTACATTTATGTTAAAAAAAGTCCATGTTTCGTTTTAGACGTCAATAAATATTGACGTCTAAAACGAAACATGTGTTTTCTGACTGGGAAACATACCCAGTCAGAATATTCTGACTGGGTAAAGGTGCCAAATCCAATGTCAGTGAAGTTGCTGTGATGGTATGGCTGCTATTTCCGGTTGTCGCTGAATTCCCCGTCTCACTCTGGCTGCTGCTAGCGTGAGCCCTTCTGCTCCCCACGACTGCCACTCTCTCCGCGTGTGCCGTCTATTCAGCCCGCTGCTGTAGGTCTTCCGTGCGCCATTTGTGGCATCCGCAGCCATAGTACGGTTTCTGCAAAAACACCGCTCCGATCTCCCTGCCCTCCTGTGACGTCCTTGGCCGATTTTCGCTCGCAGGAAGTCGTCACTGAACCTGCTGCGGAAGATGTTGTACTTCATATCGCCCAGTCTGCTAACGGAGACGTGTCAGGGTGACCTGGCCGGCAACATTGTGGAGGTGTTGGATATGGTGCTGGATGCCGAGGTGGGTGAGACGCCGCGCTCCCTTTGAGTAGAAGTGCCGGTGAATTTATTGCCAACGATTTTTGGGATGGTGTAAAATTCAAAGTCGTCTAATTTGACAAGTGAATATGACTGTGCATCTTTATAGACCGTATGCATCTGCCTAGTGCTTCGTTATGTCATGATATCGACAGTTCCCAGCAAGAATATCCTGTCAATTTTTCGAAATTGATATTTTATACCATTCGACTCAGCTCGACGACCTGAGTCGAATGGTATAGAAATCACAATTTCGAAAAAATAACACTTAGGGGTTAGGATGTTCTTGCTGGGAACGATCGATATGTCATCACATAATGCTGTAGCGGTGCTGTAGTGGTACTGTTCACCTACCTGAACAACCTACACCGACTAGTGGTGTCAATTTCAGAAAACGTATGTCCAAAGTCAGTCCAATATCCAATGCTTACGTCGACTGTCCGTCCAAAAATGTCCAAACCAGCCATTTGTCCAAAGATGTCCGACACCTACCTTAAGTATTTACCTTAAGTAAAGGTCATTAGGTACCCTTTCGAGTAATCAGACCCTTTACTCAAGAGATGCCTCCTCTTCTTCTGACGAAGACGAGTAGGCTGCCATGCTAGGTGAGGCCATACATTGATGGCCACGATGATCATTAGTATGAGAACTTGTAGTTGAACTTTTCAGGGTGGTCCTTCCATTCCTTCCCCAGTCTGTACTTGAACACATCGACATTTGGAGCATCGATGGTGTGGGTTGACAGCTTGTTCCATGTCTGAGTTACTCGTGCCGCAAAGAAGGCTTTTCTGGGTCCCAATTGATGCTGAACTTGAAGTTTTTGATCGTGACCTCGGGTGACACGGCTGAGGGAGTTCTTGAACATGCTGTTGTGACAACACCGGCACTCTCTTTGGAAGTCCACCTTGTCGAAGCCTTTCAATATTTTGAAAGTCTCCATGATGTCCGACCGTTTCCGTCGGAATTCCAGAGTAGGTAAATTAAGGCTCCTGAGGCGATCTGAATATGAAAAGTGAGACAGTCCGTTCACCAGCCTTGTTGCCCGCCGCTGCACCTGTTCGAGTGCATCTTTGTCCTTTTTGAACTTGGGACTCCATATAACAGTTGCATACTCGAGGTGGGGCCTGACAATGCTTTTGTACAAGGCTTGGAAAATGTCGCTGTCAATGTTTGCAAAGGTATGCTTGATTGCCCCAATAATTCTATTGGCCTTGTTAATCTGGTTAGTGACATGTTTTGAGAAGGATAGCTTCATGTCTATAGTGACTCCCAGGTCCTTTTCCTCACAGACTGCTTCAAGGGTATGTTTGCCTACGCAATAGTTTACACTCAACACTATTATTCAATTTGCTTTTCATGACCGTTACCAGTTCAAAAGTGTTAATCATATTGAAAGCTGAGCTTTCTAATAGCCAATCAATGTTAAACACGATTACTTTTTTTAAAATGTTGAGATGAAGCAAGCGATTGTCCAAAGTTGTCCAAAGCCTGCTGCCATTGTCCAACCGAATTCCGAATTGGACATTGGACAAAATCGGAATTCCGAAGATTCAAGTTCCGATTGACACCACTAACACCGACGCAACTTTGATACTTTGATGTCGCTGACACTAAATGACTGACATTCTGGTATCGGACCTCGCATTGCGATCGGTTATAACCTGACTTCCATCGTCTAACCTGTGGCGTTTTCTTCAGGACGACGACGAGGGTCACGCGGTGGCGCTGCAGATCACCGAGGACGTGCTAAGGAAGGGCGCCGACACGTTCCTCGAGCACTTTGCCCGGCTGGGCCTGTTCACCAAGGTGGCTCAGATGGCCGGAGCAGACGAGGACGTGGAGCAGCGGCCGGCCAGCCCGCCCTCGCTGGGAGCCTGCGCCGACCGGCTGGTGAGTATGGGAGACGAGCTAGAGGCTATTGGATAGGGGATAGGCACGTGGGGCCGCGCCCGGTCAGTCCGCCGTCACTGGGCGCCTGCGCCGACCGGCTGGTGAGTATGGGAGACGAGCTAGAGGCTATTGGATAGGGGATAGGCACGGGGGCCGCGCCCGGCCAGCCCGCCGTCACTGGGCGCCTGCGCCGACCGGCTGGTGAGGATGGGAGACGAGCCAGAGGTTAGGTTGGGCTGCTAGTTTGGATAGGGGATTGGCACGTGGAGCCGCGGCCGGCCAGCCCGCCCTCGCTGGGCGCCTGCGCTGACCGGCTGGTGAGAGCGGGAGAGGGGGAGAGATTAGAGATGAAGCTGAGCTGGTTTTAACAAGGCACAGGGATGGCAGTTGGCACGGTGCTTGCACTCAGTTTTAAGACACTGTTAATGCGAGTTTTATCATACCCTGCTGGCCTTTTGATGAATGGTGTGACCACTGAGCAGTGTCTTTACTCTCTGTGGCTACAATGACGCTGTATGACCCTCCAATCATCTGTGACCGCTTCGCTCCGTGACTGACCCGTCCCCGTGTCCGCTAGCCGGAGGAGTCGTGCGACCAGTGTCCGACCCTCTGATCAGTCGGGTCTGCCCCTGTCTGACTCGTTGTCTGACGTTCTGTCCCCCGTCTCCTCTAGCCGGAGGAGTCGTGCGACCAGCCGCAGTCGGAGGAGGACGCCCGTGAGATCCTGCCCGGAAAGGCGTATCAGTGGCGTGACTGGTGCGTCTGCCGCGGTCGGGACTGCCTCTACATCTGGTCCGACGCCGCCGCACTCGAACTCAGCAACGGAAGCAACGGCTGGTTCAGGTGGGTTCAGATGGGGTCAGGAGGTAATCCAATCAGCTAGGACGAGTTCAGACCGGCCTTTGTGGATCGGAGCTGTTTTGGTTGCATTTAGAGTGGTATTTCTGACGGATTAATTACAGCTGGTTGAGGCTGTTTCATGGTAGTTCATCGGTGTGGGCGGGACGCAGGCTAAGTAAGGAGGCTGATGGGCGACTTACTTAGCCTGCTACTATCGCGATCTCTTTGTGCATAGTTCCGAGGCATCTAGTTAATCCGACCCTTTGTTCATTAGAGGGGTTGTGTTTGCTCATTTCTACATGTCTGTGTGAAGCGTTATCGGAGATAGCAGTGTTCGGTTCGCTCGTGTAAACGTAATATGTTTGCTTCCTAGAACCGTTGCTGTTATAAATGTCACGTCAAATGTGACAATCTTCTAATGATCCTGTGCTTCCCTGTACTGACCTGCTACATCCTCCCCCTGTCTGTCTCTTATTCAGGTTCATCCTGGACGGCAAGCTGGCCACCATGTACAGCTCTGGCAGTCCGGAGGGCGGCTCGGACGGCTCCGATAACCGCGGCGAGTTCCTCGAGAAGCTGCAGCGGGCGCGCGCCTCGGTGCGACCGCACGCGGCGCCGCAGCCGATACTCAGTCACCCGAGCTCCACGCGTCTGGTGGTGGGAAACTGGTCCCTGAGCTGCCGCAGAGACGGCGAGCTGGTCATCAATAACAACGACGGACAACAGGTGGGTGGACCGAGCACTGGGGAGCAAGGTGATTGAAGGGAATGGCGAGAGGGGGCTGTTCGTGGACGCTCAGGGAGCACATGAATGGGTGTAATTAATCGTGTTAGTATGGGTATTTGGTAGCTTTTCAAGTATCCATAGCCTGTATGATGTTATAGCTCATGCTAATTCCCGTGGTGGACAAGGATGCGTCGGTTACGTCCTCAGAGTAGGCCCCTAGAAAGTACCGCAAAGTTCTACGCAAATAAGCCAGTTAGAACGTCCGGAGAAAGTTTGAAAAATTGGCTTAAGCATTCCCGGTGTGAGCAGCGTCTAGGCTAGGTTACATTTATACATAAATGTATCATTTTTATACGAAGAAAAGGTTCAAGTTGAATCTGGATATAATACAAACGCATCAGAATCTACGGGTCTGAGCTCTGATCGGTGGAAGTGGTCATGAGCAGCATATTGCCTTACATAATGTGAGCGGTCATCTCAGTTGGTCTCGGCAATTTTCAATACCGAATGCATGGGAGTGACCCCGCTTCGCTCTTGTTTTCCGCTTCTTTCACATTTGTTGTTTAGGTGGGGCAGATCGCAATCGCCTAGGCCAGCAGCAAAGTAGGCTGCCGGCCCGTGGGACGACCTGTACCCCTAGAAAAATTTATGCTAAGGTGATCTCAGCGGAGCCAAGCGTCACCAAGGCTCGTTAATTTCCTTACTCATTAGTTTAAGGCACGGCGCGCGTGGGCGCCGAAATTCAATATATCCTTTTGGGAACTAGGTTTACATGTCGAGTAATAGTGGATTGTATGGCATCAGGCAAGGACAGAGTCATCGTATGGGCTTTCCTAAGGGATCATCTTATCGGCACTGCTGCTGCCCTCTATCGACTCATCCCCGTTCATTGCACATACCCATTACTGCTTGGTAAATCGACGACAACCGTGAAAAATTTTGACCGTAGTGAAACACGACATCTAGCGTTTGTTCTGTAAGTTCTCGTACGCTAGAGATGTATAGGTGGCAGCACTTTAGCTCGCATGGCCCCACAATGTGGAATGGATAGTGGATTGAGGATTCCACATTTCGACTTCGGGGCAGGGGTGGGCAAATGTGCCGAGTTGGGGTAGCATGGGCGCCCGCGCAGCAAATCCCACGCCGCCCTAGCGGTGACCTTGACCTCCGCCGTCTGCTGCGGCTCCAAAGCCAAGCCGGCGTGGAATTGGTTTCCCAATTGCTACCCCAACTCGGCACAATTATCCACCCCTGCTTCGGGGCTAGGATCTGCTGAACGTTCTCCATCTTATTTACCCGAGGCGTATATGCGACATGTGTGATGGTTCTGAAGCACTTTCTTGATTCACAAAAGCTTGTCTGTTCTTCCTCCCCGACCGGGCCTGACTGACCTGACCTGACCTGACCCATCTGGCCTCTGTCTGTTCCCCTCAGCAAACGACCACTCTGCGGGAGGACCTGGCCGGGTTCCTGTTCGAGTCGAACCGCGGCACCAAGCACACGTTCACTGCCGAGACCTCGCTGGGCCCCGAACTGTCGGCCGGCTGGGCGGGCAAAAAGTGCAAACGATTCAGATCCAAGGTGGAGGCCGTCAAACAAAAGGTGAAGAACGACAAGGACACGGTGTGTGGAGCGACCTTTATGTTCAGCCGAGCGGCTGATCTCTTTTGTTTCGAATGGTCGTAAGAAGTAGTGTAGGTCTCCTTTTGCTGTTAACTTTGAAGAATGAAGTACCACTTTTAGATACGTTACGAACTCACGGAACGCAGATGGGATTTCGTTCATAAATACCTGTTCCGAAATCCGAATAAGCTGTCTATGAATATGCTGAAAATTGACTTCGAAGTTCGATTTGTGTGTTTCATACGCTTTTACCTCACTGGTTTTGTTCGGCAGGTCCGCTCTCAGGCGCGCGACATCTACGAGAAGTACTTCAAGGTGGCGCAGTCGCAGCCGCGTGGTGTGGTCGCCAAACTAGGCACAATTGTGGCGCAGATCGAGCGGGCCTGCCACAAACAGCTGGCGGCAGTCGACCGGTGAGAGAGAGGATGGGAGTGGGCAGAGGGAGCGGGGGGAGCAGGGCGGCAGGCAAAGTGCAAACTCTTGTCGGTTGCATTAGCTGGGATGGATTAGCGTGGCGTTCTGGGCATAAATGGGATAGGGGCGTCTGGCAGCTGACGTGATGGTGATAAAATATTCATAGTTCATGGCCGCCAGTATTTATGGGTCGCGCCCACGCTCTGGGTTATGTGTGATGCGCAATCAGTTTGCACCACCAGTCAACTTAATGTCTCATTCCTTTCGCCATCTGCAGCCTGCCAGTATGTCTTTCATTCTCCCTAAATACTCTCCTTTGTTAGCTTTGTGACGTGTAAACTCACCGCGACATGCAGGATCTTTCTGTCTTCGATGTGACCTCTCCGTGACCTATTATGACCGCTGAGCGCCCCTGTTTGACTCTAATCTGTCCCCTAGGTGTGACGAGGTGGCGTCCGATCAAGCGCGCCGCTCTCTCTGACCTCATGTGACCCCTCTGACCCTTCTGTGACCCTCTCTGATCCCCCCCCCCCCCCCCCCCAGGTGTGACGAGTGGCGTCCGATCCTGCGCGCGGCCCTGTCGGACCTCATGTCGCTGCTGGGTGACGAGCGCGCCGTATCCGCCTACGAGCTGCACTCGTCCGGTCTGCTGCAGGCGCTGCTGCGACTCCTCAGTTCACCAGACCGCACCAGCCGCCGAGCGAACCGGCTGCTCAAACAGCGGCAGCGGCTCTTCAAACAGTGTTTCCAGGTGCGCGGAGTGGAGGGATGGAGGAGGGATGGTAGTGAGGATGGGGAAGTAAACTAACGTCAAAAGACATGGGAAAGGGCCGGAAAGGAAGGTAAATAATGCTTGTCAATCGGAAGCGGAACATTGTATTTTTTTTCGCGGAAAAGATCGACTTGTGGGTGAAATCAGACTGCCCAATGCCCATAGACCTTTGTTTCATGGTAAGGACATGAAGAGCTTTCAGCTATAATCACCCACCCAGCTACCTGACATCTATGACTATCAGCGGGTCCCCTGCCGTCTCTATCACACCCTCACGCTCCATGTCGTGCCCTGTCGCCAGGAGGCGGCGGCGGTCTCCCAGGAGCACCCGGGCGTCTCACTGGTACGGAAACTGGTCTCCGTGCTCGAGTCCATCGAGAAGCTTCAGGTCTACAACTACGACTCGACCGGCACAGTCAGCGGTCTCCAGGTCAGTGCGTCTTTGTATCCTGCGGCTCTTCTGTTAAACATATGACAGTTTTTAGGCGCATGCACTGGCTAGCAGTTTACGTTTTTTTTCCATGTGTCCTTTACTCTCAAGTGACGCTTTGTCGTGTGTTTTTCTCTCTGTTGTTTCACCTGTGCCCTATGTTCACTCGTAGTAACACCTTGCGGCTATACATCGCTGCGCTGGTAATTGTACCTAGATCCTGTGCGTATATCCCAAGTAACACGTTATTATCTTCTCTACCGCAGGTGCTGCAGCTTCGGATGCGGTTCCGCCTGGAGCGGGCCGCCAGTGACTCCAGTCTGATTGACTGCACGGGCCGCACTCTGAAGATGGAGCCGCTGGTGACGGGACGACAGCTGGAGCGCTACCTACTCAAACAGGTCAGTGAAATATAAGTTTACAGCAGTGGTTACTTGACAGCTGCTAGTCGCTTGGAAACACAGTGATAAGCTTTGCTGTTGAGCGTCGTGTTATTGGATGATGTTTTTTTTTTAGAAAAGCTTTTGCTACATTTTGGAACGGTTCCCTAGATGGATGGTTTACCCACCAATGATCATAACCTAGCTGTTTCGACCTTACGCCCTGCCGCGATGCTCTTCGCTAGTCATCTACTTGTTTCTTATTTGTCTTACCCAATCTTTATCTGCCTCATCCACAGGTGGCCAAGCAGTGGTACGACTACGACCGGTCGACGTTCACCTTTGTTAAGCGGATTCGTGACAACCCATCCACCGTGTTCACCCACCAGTCCGACTTTGACGAGAACGGCATCATCTACTGGATCGGAACCAACGCCAAGTAAGTGTTGTCGGCTCGAATCGGGGAGGGGAATGAAGGGATAAGATGTTGGGCTTTTGGTGGGTTGGGGGAGTTAAAGACTTAGGTGGGGAATGCAAAGGTAGGAGTGTGTTAAGTGGAGTGGGGAAGGTTATGGTAACATTCCGCTTAAATGGTTGTTGACCACATGTCTGAGCGTTTTCTTTGATTGTCATGGTTTGCTTGATAACAGATTACTTGGGTGTTCTTTGTTGCGTTGGAAAAGCAAATACGCTACAAAGTACAAGCTCATGCTTTTCTCTCGGTTTAGTTTTATCGACCAGTATCTACGTTCATTTGCTAGTGATGTTTCTTTTTTTCAAAACGTGCATTAGCTTGCCTGCCTGCGCCACTCTAACTCTCTCCCCTCCCTCTCTCGCGCCGACAGGACGGCCTACGAGTGGGTGAACCCGTGTCAGTACGGTCTGGTGGTGGTCACCTCCTCTGAGGGACGCAACCTGCCTTACGGACGGCTCGAGGACGTGCTCTCGCGCGACCCGACGCCTCTCAACTGTCACACCAACGACGACAAGCGCGCCTGGCTGGCCGTCGACCTGGGCATGTGGGTCATACCCACCTGTTATACACTCAGACACGCCCGCGGCTACGGCCGCAGCGCGCTGCGAAACTGGGTCTTCCAGGTGAGAACTGGATGTCACGCAGCCGTGGAATCTGCAGACTTAAAGCCGCCCCACGCTGCACCTCGCATGCGGGTTACGAGTTTTTGGTTTTTCGGGTTTCTTTCAAATCAAATAATACAATCTAAGCTGAGTGACCCACAATACCATCTAACAAGCGAGTCTGCATGTTTTTAGCATGCGAGCCAACTTGCATCGCATTCCAAAAGTTGATTTTGAGTCAACTTTCGATTATTCTCGCTGCGAGGTCTGCGAGTTCTGCGGGGTTTGCGGGTTTTTCGTTGGAGTCGAATTTTGTTTGGTTGCGCTGGTATTGCGACTATATGTAATTTTCTGAAGGTGTACCGGCTTCACTGCATTCATGAAGTTACCATAAGGGAACGGTCTAATCACTCTATGAATTAGTATTATGCCCCCAAACTCAAAACCCGCAAACTCGCAACCCGCATGCGAGGTCCAGTGTGGGGCGGCCTTAAGACGTAGGACTCTTTGTTATTCATATGCTAGACATTCAGTGAAAGACATTACAGTCAGAGGCGAACTTAAACATTACATAACATCGAGGGCGGTTATAACGATTCGTCGCCTGGTCTTTGTCCCTTGTCTGATAAGGTATTAACTGTGTTACAGCTTGTACTCTGAAGTTGCGTGTTCAAGTGCCCCTGTGCGTGTGTGTCACGATGATGACCCTTCCCTCGTGCCGCTCAGGTCTCCAAGGACGGCCTGTCGTGGACCACGCTGTACATGCACATCGAGGACACGTCTCTGAACGAGCCGGGCAGCACCGCATCGTGGCCGCTGCTGGCGCCCACAGAGGAGACCCAGGTATGAAAACACCGGTCCAATGCGAGCGGCTGAGTGACGGTGCAAGCTGGCGAATAAATTTATTTTCAGCCGACTTATAAATCAACAGATTTTTAAGACTTATATTTTTGTTTTCTTATCACTTATGATAAAGATCGCATTTTACATTTTCCACTTTACTTGCCAAAAAGTAAAAAAAAAAA